AATGAATATTTTATTATTCACTGAATATTATACTTAAAAAGAAAATGAACTTGTATCAATTATAAAGAAATAAAAAATTATTTATCAATAGTTCTACTCTTCTAAACAGTAACCAATATTTTTTCAAAATCAAATAACATACATAAATATAAGTGTTTTTGTTTATTCTCCAGAGTTCTTGAGAACCACTTCAATCCTGGCACAGAACAGATTTTAAAAGCTTCTTCTGCATTCACTTAGGCTCACAAAGAGTAAATAGATAGTTTAACAGATTTAGCATATTTTGGAATAAAAAAAGCCAGAGGTCATTTGTTTAAAATGATGACATTGAATACTCTGCAGAGTATTAATGTATTCTCATAATTATTATTGCAAACAGTCATTAAAATCATCTGTCTACAACAAGTAAGCCTAAAAAACTCAAATAGTATGATTAATCACAATAGTGCACAAGGGCAAGTAGAAAGCTCTCTATTTAATAAATGTTTCATTTTCTTTAAAAATATTTACACTATTTACATTATTCAGACTGTTGTCCTCGTCTTTATCATCATTATTCACAATGTTTTGGCCATTGTACACTCCAACCTTCTTCAGGTGATATACATTAGAATTTTAAACCAAACTCTTTATTTCATCCACCAGGGTAGATAGTTCTAGTTTGGTGGATAAAATAAAGAGCTTGGTTCATAATTTCAATGTATATCACTTAAAGAAGGCCAGAGTGTACAATGGCTGAAACATTGTGAATATGACACTAAAGATGAAGACAATAGTCTGAACAATGTAAATAGTGTAAATAGTTACAATACCTCATCTCAGAAATATAGAGATATTCTTTAAAAATGATTAAAAATTAATATTGATTACATTAGGTTAAACAAATTTCTTTCCATGAGGAATAAAAAAATATTAATTGACCAATTAACAAAGGTAGAAAAATGTTTAATTATTAATTTGGATATATTTATCAACAGTATGAATTATTTTACTTTTGTTTAAGAGTAAATTTTTATCTTCTAGGTGAGCTTAATGTGATTTCTAAGCCATTTTCTACTACTGCGATATCTGTAATAAAGATTATTGTAGATAAATCCATTGAAAAAATTTATTAAGAAATTAATACTCGGCAAAATTATCTGTCATATGAACTTGTTTCTTGTAGGCAAACTAGTGATTTTTAAATTTATTTCATATTCATTGCGCTGGTTGTTTGAAAAAGTAATGGCTAGCTTTAATCTGTCTGCATCACTTCTTGTTACCTCCCTTTACACCAAGGCACAACCTAATCAAAACCTGACAGTTGGCTTTGGAGTCACTAAACGTTACGAAAGTTCCTCTTATGATACACAGTATGCTTTGTTAATTCTTATATGTTCGGTATCACAAAGGCAATGCATTATAGGAGGATGGTCTCCCTTGAGGACTGAAATTATTGCTTATGATTTCACTTTAAATATTTAATTAAAAAATATATTTCCAAATGGATTCTTATTTAAAAATGACAAAAAAATGTTACGATCAAATCACAATTTCTTTACAGAGGCATTATCTTTAACATAGATATATTTTTTTTTTATAAAGGGAATCTGAGAAGAAAAGTATTGACCATAAAAATATTGGCTATCTCCACCATTTATCTAACATTCAAATACATTTATATTTTATAGCTGCAATCTTTCCTATCAAACAGTGCACTTAATTTTTCTGATGCGCGGGTGATTGTGGCAAAAGTTGGACTCAGTTGTTTACAAGCTAAATTTGTTGTTAAGCAGCATCGTTCAATTAATTTGTACTTCTTTTTAATTGCTGGTGAAAAAAAAGTTATCTCCCCATAACTATTAATTTTCGTTCTTCACAAGAAAAATATAACTTCCTTACTCTTTCTCTTTTGTTTGGCATACAATGCACACAGGTAAAGTCTATGTCTAATGTCAACACCATGTACGAATTATGACTAATAAAACTTATACCACCTAATAAGTTCTTTTTTGTCATTTTATTTCATTAGAAATAGGTGTATCAAACCATTGTTGAGGAAAATATTTACAAACAAAACCAAAAATCATTCTTATAAATGTTAGAATGCTTACATTGTTTATATCTTTCTAAGCTTAGTTTAGCACAAGGCTAAAAATATAAGGCATTCAGTAAGTACCAAAGTCACTATTTAGTAGCAATGATTAATCAGATTAGCTTGTTAACCATTATCCCAAACTCTGGTACCCTTGCTGCTTGCACTGTTGTAATTCAATCTGAAGACCTAAACGAGGATCTATTTAATAAAATCTATAATTTGGCATGGTATAGTTTTTAATTCAGCAGTTATGAATTCAGGAATATATATATAAACAAAGACTTACAATAAGTATTCTGTCATCAATTCAACTTTTGGAGCTTTAGGGATACATATATTTTATTTTTGGAATATCTTGAAGAATTCTTATGTAATCATATATTCCTGTAATATTCTACATTATAAATTAGATGCTCCAAAAACTTTGAATTAGGACAAACAAGTTTCTTCTCAGATATCCTGTATAAAAAAAAATAGTGTTCAAATATTGGCTGATTAAGTGGTTTATTTATTTTATTTGTTATCAGCAAGAGAGCATGTCAAGAGGATAGACAGGAAAGTTAGCATTTTGTCATTTTTTTTTCTTGAAATCAAAAGAAAAGATTGATCTTTAAAAATTCTTGCATGTTATCTACAGTCAATAAATTTAAATTCTTGTTAAAAAATAGTTGAAAGTTCAAAGTTGAGAAACTTTTTTTGTTCACTGAGGGGTGGGAAAACAATGTTGAACTGATTATTCTGCAATGTTTACCATCTCCTAATTTTTATTTTTAAGGTAAGTAAAGTGGAGAACAGTCTTTAATATGGCAGTAGAAACAATGTCAACCAGTACTTGCAATTGTTGATAATGTCACCCATTGTAAAAACAAAAGGTCTCAAGTGACATCTTGATTGACTTTCCGCTCAAATTCAAGTCAATAATAACAGTGAAACAGTGAATGAACAGGAGTTATTTCTCTTCAGTGTCGCTATAAAATTTTTTGAGATCATTTTTCGGATATAAAATAAGATAAAGTTCTTATATCTGCTATCATTAATAAAAAGTGTTGAGACAATTACTATAAGTACTAATATAAAAGTATAAAAATGTTACCTGAAAATCTTTGATATTTACTGTTATTACTAAATTCAAATGGTTTACTAAATTGTTAAGAAAATGAAAGAAAATTCTATGAAATGAAACAAGTTGTAAACTTCCTGGCTTCAGAATTACCAACAATTCTTGAGGAGAGAGTTAAGATTAGTTCAAATTTTTATCAGCACTATTGATATAATTCAGATAAAATTCAATTACAGTAGTTATTTTTTAAACTCACTTTGGATTTGCAAAGTTAACAAAATCCATTTGAGTATAAAAAGCAAATAAACTGTATTTTGAATCTTGTTTGGTGTTGGATTTGGAGACAAGTGGGAAGGAACCGAATGGAAACAACCCACATGTCACCTGCAATCAAATTACTTACTATTAAAGTGCTTGTCAATCACATGTGTGACTTTGATGTCTTAAAATCCAAACTCCCTCCTACACTACATTTTAGGATATGGCTCATTTCTGTCTAAACAGAAAATCCCCAATGGATCAGTGACCTGACATAACGAACCTTTCTAACCTTTTCATTGGCATACTTTTTTTATATTTATATATATATTATATTATATATATATATATATATATATATATATATATATATATATATATATATATATATATATATATATATATGCATATATATATAATTATTATTGGAATTGGAAAGTGCTCAATACCAGTGATAGAGCTAACATATTCAGTTGTATGGATATGAATTTGTGACCCTGGGTTTCACACTTTTGCGATCATTAGACAAACTTTGATGATCACAAAAGTGTGAAACCCAGGGTCACAAACTCATATCCATACAACTGAATACATATGACAAAGAACATGTTTACCAAAAACATGGTCGACCAGTGTATTTCTGGAAGATAATGCTTTTAAGGTAAGTAGTCTTTGTAATAAAAAAAAAAAGAAAAAGTGCTCAGTATCAGGAGAGAGAACATTAATAGCAACAAATAAAATTAAATGTTCAACTTATCTGTCCTGGCTGGGAGTTTTGTGGGTATGGTACCCACTTTTCAGAGGTTTGATAGTAATATTGAATTTATTTTTTTAAAAATCATATTTTTCTGTAAATAAATTTAATTTTACTATCTAGGCTCCTGACAAGTGGATACCATATCTGTAAAACTCCCAGTAGGGGCAGATAAGTTGAACATCTAATTTTATTTGTTGCTATTAATATTTGTTGATATTCAGCACTTTATTTATTCTCTCTCTCACACACACACACACACACACACACAGCTATAATTATGAGTTTGAAAGGCAAAAAAACGAGTTTATAAAAATGGCTTCTACTTGAAAAGAGTAATGATCTTCCTAATTTAAATGAAGATGGCACAGAAAAGTATTAGGATGATTGGGGTTTTCAATGTTAAAATAAAGAAGCTTTTTGTTTGTTTTGCAACAGAATCCTTTCTTCTTTGCAGGAAAAAAAACCGAGTCATTCTGGTTTTCTTTTCTCTTTTACATTTGCTGGAAGAAATTTAAAAAAATCAAAAAACCCTGATCAACAAAATGATTGATGAAGATGTAAAAAATGGCAAGATTTTTCCAAAAATGAAGGTAGCAGACAATCAAGAGTCCAAGCAGCTGGGAATATGGTTTCTGCTGCTGTACATTGTGGATAAGGTGAGTATCCTGCAGGAGATCTGAATTCAGGTGGCAGAGTCAGACAATCTTTGCATAGCCTTCCAATTAAAACAAAGAAGGAATAAAATGCGTAAACTTATTTCTACACATTCTTTACACAGCCAGAAAGTACTGACTTGCATCCCTGACCATGTTCTCTTTGCTAATGGCTCCCACTTTCCAGAGCCACAATTACACAGTAGTAGATGAAAAGTCCAAGTCACATGACCGATGACGCATAGCTATTGGCTCGGAGATATTCTGTTTTGTGTGTGTTGGTGTGTCTGCATCACTGCTATCTTTTGAGTCAAAACCACTTCTGTTTTTGCGACCAAATGCTTTACCAATTGAACCCTGAGTGAATAAAAAGATAACTATTTAGTAAATAAACAGAGATTTTATTTATGAGAAAATGGTTGATAAATTTGATGATTTAAAATTTTAAGATGAGAGATGGTTGTCATTCAATTCCCCACCACCAGATAAAAATTTCTCATCTTTATTGTTTAGATCATGAAATTAGACTTTATTCAACAGAGTTGTGGTTCTACAGAAAGATACTGCAAATACCATAGACTGAGCATGTGAGAAATGAAGTTTTAAAGAGAATAGAAACAAAAAGGATGTTTATCTTTAAAAAGAGACAGCTGAAATGTCTAGGTCACATAGTGAGAAAAGAAGACTTGATGAATTTGACATTTGATATTTTACAGGATATATTGAAGGCAAGAGAGTCACAGGGGAAGCACCAAATAACAAGCTTTAGTGAACTGTTGGAAGGATGGTGAAAAGACAAGCTTTACTAATAGCTACAAAGGATAGGAAGTTGGGGAGAGCCATGAACGTCCACATCCTGAAGGGACATGGCACATAAAAGAAGATAATGTTCAACTTTCTTCAAGTGTCTATTTCATGTACTAATATTTTTTAGGCCCCTTTTGATGATCAAAGTAAAAATGTTTAATAATAAAGAAATGGATAAGATGTATGCCCGTGAGCACTTCTACGAAACAAAGTGCATCATAAAGAACTTTTTAAAATAGTTTTTAATTGATTGAAAGAAAGAAAAAAGATGTAATTTAAAAAGTCATTCCTGGAGAAATAGTCCTGGGTATGATGATAAACTACATCCAGCAGCAAGACCTTTGATTTGGAGATTCAAGATTTTGAGGAGTGTGGAACCACCTCTTAATTGTTGTTCTTCCCAGGTCCATCCTGATCTGAGATGGTAGCACCTGTTAGGTTCCCAACTATGGGAGAATAGTGAACCCCCAAACAAGAGCAAAATACTATGAAAATATAAAAATACATTTTTATAGTAAAATGACCAACAATACATTTTATCTGTACCTGAAGTCATGGAATTTCATTCAAAATATTTAGATTTTGGCATTAAATAACTCAGAGGTTGATATCCTGCTAAATGAAATTGACCAAGCAGCAAAACAAAAGAACTCTTTCATGACATTAATCCATATAATATCCTACAATTTCTAAAAGAAATCAAACTATATTCCAAAATATAACTTCAATGAAACTACAACATAAAACACAGATATCACCACCTCTCATAATTATGTCCACACAGACATGTATATGTAAAATAAGCTGAGTATCCTCTACCATGTACTCAATTGTGAAAGTAGAACAACACCACCTTATGGATCACTTAATGCTGAAATTTTCTTTTCTTCTGAGCTTTGAAGCAATAAAAATATGATATATTCATATTTTTATTACTTCAAAGCTCAGAAGAAAAGAAAATTTCAGCATTAAATGACCCATAAGGTGTTGATATGACATTAATCAAATCATTGAGAAAATAATGCATAGCCACAATCTGAATATCTAATTACAGATTGCCAAGTTTATTTATTTTTTTTAAAACATGCCTGGGTGAGTTGATGAGTGGTCAAGGATTGTACGAATATGAAGAGGTCAGTGTTTCTTCTTATTGCTTTATCCAATCTTGTTTCTTCTAGAATCAAAACCCGCACATGTTGGTCATTGATGACTGCAATAACAGGTGATTTTCTTTGGCTTACATGTCATCTTTGGTGGCCAACATTAATTAGCAAGGCTATCCAGTGATGTGCTGGTTCTAAAATCTTTTGAAATTGGACTTAGATCTCATCTGAATTCTAAGTTAGGTCAAGAATGCAAAGTCTGTGATAAACCTAAAGTTTTTTTCCCTAAACTTTAACCAGTACAAGGCTCAAGAGCCACTCAAGGTAGAGGGTTACTGAATGAGATATGTGATATGATGGTAAGAGGAAGTAGAAAGAAGTTAAGATTATGAAGATGAGGATAGATTATGAAGATTATGAAGATGAGGATAGATTATGAAGATGAGGATAGATTATGAAGATGAGGATAGATTATGAAGATGAGGATAGATTATGAAGATGAGGATAGATTATGAAGATGAGGATAGATTATGAAGATGAGGATAGATTATGAAGATGAGGATAGATTATGAAGATGAGGATAGATTATGAAGATTATGAAGATGAGGATAGATTATGAAGATTATGAAGATGAGGATAGATTATGAAGATTATGAAGATGAGGATAGATTATGAAGATTATGAAGATGAGGATAGATTATGAAGATGAGGATAGATGACGATTGACCTTGACTTGAAGAGATTAAGATTGTAGTGTTCAGGAAAAAATGCATTTTCCACAAACTGACAGTTTTTTGGAAAAAGCTGTCTGAGTGGAACTTCCTCCTTACAATTGGAATATGGAAGAAATGTAGGTGATTTGACTGGACATAACATAACTATAAAGGACTGAACTGGTAGAACTAAAGAGTGCAGCTCATCTGAACATTTGCCATGGAAATAGTGATAAAGTAGTGATAGGCTTTTAATATTGTGTCTGTGAAGAAAGAGGTTGTAGAGTGGAAAATGTCATCTCTTACAAGATTGCGTAAATGATTTTGAACTCTATCAGGATTGGAAAGTGAGAATTGAGCAGTCTGGATATATCAGCAAATCTCCGTTTTGGGTCTAATCAGACTTTTGTAAAGATAATGCATTGCAGAAGGAGTCAAATAACTTTTGGAGTGATAGAATGAGCTGACCATTTTCCCATCATCTTTAGAATTGGATCATATATACAGGGTGTATCAAAAATACTTTTACAAACTTTGGAGGTGAATTCCAAAACAAAGTAAAATGTCGATATAAACATAAGTTCAAAAGGTCATTGTTGTACCTCAACACGGAAACTTATAACAAATGTTCAAAATGTCCTTGGCTTGCTTCTACACATGCATGCACTGTTTCAAATCCACACAGTGTCAAATGATTTCACAGGCCCCCATGACACATTGATGAAGCATCTCTGCGGTGTGTTTGAAATAAAGTCCCTGTAGACAGCTCCTGTAAGACATGCTGGGAGTAGAAATGGCCCTACCAGACAGTCACTTACAATTCCAGCCAACACATTAATCGTAAACTGATGCTGGTGTCTAGCCTGTATTGTACTGTGGGGATTCCAATCTGCCCATAAATTGGTTGTGTAAATTTGTTATTCCATCTCTTCCAAATGTTGCCTCATCTGCAAACAAGACCGTAGAGACAAACAACAGATTGGCAGTTTGTGCAATAAACCACTGGCAAAAGTTCTCCCATGGTGAGTGATCAGAGGGTGAAAGACCCTGCACATGTTGCAAATGATACAGAGACAGGGACTGCTCTTGAAGTACCCTGTCATGTGGTACTATGAGATTTATGACATGCTAGGGCCACTTAATGTGTGCTGATGCCTAGATCATCTCTGACAGTCTGTATAATGTGTTCTTCATGGTCAGGCATATGAGTGCATATTGGTCTTTCTCGCTCCATAGTTTGTGCTGCCACAGATCCTGTCTCAGCAATGCAATGATAAACGGCAGCAAAGGTTGGATGACTTGGTTGCCTTTGGTCTGGAAACTTAATCTGATACAGCCGTGCAGCCTCATGTCCATTATCATTCATGCAGCTGTATGTAAAAATTATATCTGCCTGCTTGCGATGTGTATATCTTGCTATTGTTAAACAGAACACTTCTCAGTTAACTCACTAATACACATGTTAAATGTTGAAGACAGACTAGCCAAAAATGTACATGAATAACAAATGTAACTTAGTCTAAATGGTAACACAAGGCCATCCACCATAAACTTTCTTTAAATTTAGTAACTCAAAAATAAAGGATTTGCTGACATATCTTTATATGGAATTTTGTCCCTGTGAGGAACCTGCCCCCAAAGTTAGTAAAAGCATATATATATATATATATATATATATATATATATATATATATATGTATATTGATCATTTTACTTCAAACAAGACAATAAAGCCACTGAGATACAAGCATTTGATGTGTGAGAGAGAATATGAGAAAAAGAAAACATTATTAAAGAAAGAGAACAATAAAAGAACAAGAATAAGACAGAAGGTAATAATTGGGAAGCAAGAATTCAGAAGAGAGTTCTAGAGGTGAGAAGCATGAGAGGAAAATGTTAGCATGTAACTTATGGTTTGATCGAGCTATTTCAACTGTGAAATGATAATAACTTGTCACCAATCTAGTACAGCACTTAAATTCATGAAGTCAAGGTACTAAAGAGGAAAGTATATCAAAACAATTATCATGAAATTATTTATAGAAAAGGAACAGGGAAGCTACATTATGGTGGTGAGAAAGTGACTGAAACTGAGATGCCAGGTTAGAACCAATAATATTGCTGATTCTTCTTTGTATTTTATCAGGAATCATTAAATACATAACAAAAGCACAAGACCAGATGTGATAGCAATATTCAATGCATGGATGAATGGTAGACTTATAAATAAGAAAGATAGATTCTGGTGAGAAAAATTGTCTAGCATGACACAGTGAACCAACTGTCTTAGCAGTAGACCTAGTAACTGATTTAATATAATCCACTTCATTTCAGCAGAAGATGCTAACCTGAGAAGGTGCAATGAGTCACTCTCCTGGAGGTTAGTATCAACCATGTTGATGGAAGATAAAAAAGGTTCTCACAGACGATTAAAAGAGAACAGTTTCATTTTGGAGGTGTTCAAATTAACAAGCCATTCCTTGCCTCAGTTAACAACAGATTGTAGATCATTTTTTAGATCAGCTGCAAATCAGACTTACAATTAAGACAAAAGAAAAACAGATATTGAGTTGAGAACTGAATTTCAACTTGTGAAGATCAGTATGCCAAACTCTGTCAAATGGCTTGAGATGTCCAAAGCAACAGCCTGAGCTTCACTATTCTCATTTAAAGCTTGATGGACTCTTTCAGCAGTAGTCATTAAGACATCAGCAGTTGACTTAGAGAAGCAAAAGCCATATTGCTTATCTGAAAGAAAACATTGCGAGGTGAGATGCTTAAACAGTTCAGAGTTAATTAGAGCCTCTAGTACTTTGCCAAAAAGGAGCTATAAGGCTAATAGGCTGATGGTTAGAAAGATTAAAAGTTCACCTGACTGGAACTACAGAAGAGGATTTCCAACAAGCAGAAAAGTAAGAAGCAGCAAGGCATTTATTACAGAATTTAGAGAGAGAACAGAAGCCAGTTCAGGAGCACATTGGTTAAGGACTATTGCAGAGATACCATCAAGTCTACATACTTTGATGGGATCCATTTTAGAGATGATAGCAAAACCCAAGGCTGAAGTTATATGCATATAACCCAATAGAGAACTAGCCACACTGAGGAGCCGTGATACAGCAAAACAGTGTCTGTGGATGATAATATATGCTCCTGAGCTCTTGAAAGAAAGGGGGTTTTAAAAACAGAGGCTCTTACTGCTATTAAGCATTACTCTTCAATTACGAATCGAGTTCTCCGGACAGCTGGTATATTTCATATAGAAGAAAAATGTTAAAATTCCCTTCCTTCTGGCTAGGGGTAAGATATCTGACTGATGTCAAATCAGTTAGGTTTCGATCCTGGCTTGAAGCAATCGGACATCTAGCCACACCGAGGAGCTGTGATACAGCGAAACAGTCAGTTTGGGGATTATATATAAGCATTCAATAAAAGATGAGAATCATAGTAGTAGTGATTGTAGAAAAGTTAAAAATTTAAATTAACTTACTTTTTACTCATTTTAAATTGACAAGAATTTGTATCTGTTTCTGTTGAAAATTTAGATTTGATCTCATAGATTAATCCACTTTTTTAGATTAAGTTAGTTGATTTTTTATTATAGTAATAAATGTAAGAACAAATATAAGAACTCACTCTAATACTCATCCTGGATTTCGGTGTCAAATCATCTACACTGGTATTAGTTCGGAATGATCGAGGGAAGGATCGACCTAATGACCCACCATTAGCCTTCTTCTTGTAATGGACTGTTGTATCCAAAAGTGCTCTGTTTCATAAAAAAAAAATAATTAGGGATAAAGAGACAGAAAGAAATCATTTTACAAAGCATAATTCCAATAAAAACAATATTCTTTATTGATCTGAGTAACTTTCTGGAAATTTTGAACTGAACCCTTTATTTAATCTACAAGAGTAGATTGTTCTTGGTCTGCTGACTATATCTAGAGATATAGCATCTAGTTCTTATTTAATACTGCTCAGTTATTGCTTGTTGGGAACAATAGTCAAGTGTTAGGTTGTTAATGTGGGGGTATAGTATTTATGAGTCCAATCCCTGGGTTGGTTAGTGTGTGTACTTGTAGCCATTACTGCACTTTCTATGTAAATAAGGAGCATTCTGGTCACCTGATGATTGCAGTAGCATGATACTCAAGTAGCAGTCTGAACTTTGTTTCTTTTCGAGTTGTGTCACTGGGTAGCATATTTGTTCTGTCTTGCTCATTTAGTTATAGAGCACTTTCTTTAACTGCTTAGGTAGGTATCTGTCTTTGATTGGGTTTGTTTTTCTTTTTATTTCCTTCAGTCACTTGGCAGGCTTTGTGTTGGTTTTACTAATAATTTGGTTTGTTGTAAATAAGAAGCAAGATAAATAGGCACATGTGCAAAGCTATAAATATTGATGTCTTTCTTGATATTAACCTTCTATCTTAGCACCCTCACATCCATACCTATTTACTTCTTTATCACATGATGTTGAGAATGAATTAAAAGAGATGGAGATGAAACCAAATAATAATGGAGGGATACCCAATAAGAGGAATTTAATATCAGACTGCATTCTAAGGTAAAGATTAGGTAAAGTCCCTCTTTGTATATGCTAGAAACATACTACTGATGAAATTTCAATATAAAACAATATTTTGTTCTTTGTTATAAATATTGGCATGGAGCCACAATCATGAGAAAACCAATATTTGATCCGAGTTCATTAGTGAAATAGCTGAAAAATATATTAGGTTGAGCCATAAGTAATTCCTGTTTTAGAGAAGAAAATGGTAACGATGAATGTACCCTTCTAACTACTAATCCTACACTGCAATTAAGAATAAACATTGTCTGTTTCCCGTGGCTGTAGGGGTGAGGTCAGCTTTATTCTTGTCTTCAGTCAAGAAAAAGACCAAAATTAAAACAAGTGAGCCTTGTTCCTGAAGATTCAAACTCCAAGGCAGCACCTCCTCATAATACTAAAAACTCGGGTTTGTGGTTCGCATTGACGCATATCAATGCAGAGGTCACGGAGACAGCAATTTTTGCCTCTATCCTCATGTAGACATGTGGGTCCCACGTTAATCCAGATCATGTATCCCATTTCACTTTGGAAGGTAGCTAATTAACAAAACAAGACAAATAGGCACATATGCAAAGCTAGAAATATTGATGTCTTTCTCAATATTAACCTTCTATCTTAGCACCCTCACATCCATACCTATTCTTCATCACACGATGCTGAGAATGAATTAAAGAGATAGAGATGTAACTGAACAAAAGCAATGAAGAACTGAAGATTGACGTTGATGACTCATGCTTTTCTAAGAGTGAAAGGGTTAAAGGAATAAGAATGAACAAAGTGCCATTTTCTCCCATTTAGTAAAAAAAATTAAAAAGTCAAAAAAATAGTCAAATAATCCAAAACAAGGAAAATTAAAAAAAATTACCTGGCAGGTTTTATTAAGGCATCTAGCTCAGTGATTAGATGTCTGCGAACATAGGACTTTGATGGAGGTATACCCAGAGCTGTGGCCAGTGTATCTGCATTGAATAGGGGTTCTAGAACAATGAGGGCCCCATGCACACCACTTTCTTTCAAGTTGTCAGCATACTCCTGGAAAAATACATCATCAAATAATACAGACAAATAATCAGTGGTGGACTGAGTCTAAAAATATTGGGTACCAAGAAACAAAGGGGGAACACTCACAGCTACAATGCTATCATTTAATTTTCATAATGAATAAATAATATTTAAAAAAATACATATAGAAAAAAGAGGCACAATTAAAGATTTTATAGAAAAAAAGTGTATTTCTTCATAATTACAGTGCATATGTACTGTACATATTACTGACAGTAGGTAACAAAATGTAAATACAGAAGGTTATAATTGAATTTTTAATTTTTTTTAATTTAAAAAAATTAATATTTTCAAATAGTTTACTGTACAATTTACACATTAACAGTGTTTAAACCTAGGGAAGGTTACTGAATAGAATAATGAAACGAAGGTTGGTAATGAATGATAATACTTAGGACAAGAAAAATACATTTAAAATAAGCCAGCAGTGTGTAGAAGTAGTGAACTGCTAGAAGTAAGTCAAGTGAATTCCACAATGAATCTCCAACTGCAGACCAACATACAGTATTTACTACTGTATTTATGTGAATGGGGACATACCCATTATCAGCTGTAGGTATGCTACAACAAACAGATAATTCAAAACCACAATAAATCATTACATGCAGTTTACTATACTAAGAGCAATCATTGTGTTTACTAACATGGTGGAGTAATGGATAGCAGCTCAGATTAAGGAATCGGAGAGCTGAGTTTGAATTCTAGTTGAATCCATTACATTCACTTATGTGCTAATACCCTTGGGAAAGATATGAATTCTCTTCTTCTCCCCCCAGCTATGGGTAAGTAGCAGGACAGACTGGGTTGTATAGCCTTGGATGACAATTAGTCTACTGCAGAAAGAAATGGCAACCTACTGCAGGGAAAAAAAATCTGCCTCGTCAGTCATGTATTGAAAGATACATGATCACCTAAGCATGTATCACGCATGGCACATAACTGACTGACTGAAGTGATTGTTCAAGTTTACCAATAATTGCTTCTGCATCCAATTCAACTAACAAATCCTTTTCATTGGATAGAAACATGTATGATTCCAAATTCTCCACAGACAGTGAATTTCTTAACCTTGTCTTTATGATCTTTAGCTTAGAAAATGTCCTCTCCCATTGACTATTGTATTTTTATTTGATATAGGGGGCCTACTCCATCATGGTCCATTTGTCATTGGGCAAGATGACATCCTGATCAATCTGTCACTGCAAATAATGCTTAATTTGAAAGTTTAAAAGTCAAAATCATTTGGTGAGACTATTATGTCTGCCTGCAAAATGAGTATCCTTAATTTCACACCCTATCAAATTGCTTGTCTAGAAATATATTGATAACAAACAAAATCAATTACTATAATTCAACATATATATGACTCATAGACATATATCTGCCATTTTGGTAAAGAATTAAAAAAAAAAGAAGAAAGAATTATATAAAAAATAGTTCAGTTAATCAAAAAGGCTCAAATGTTTTACCTACTTTCAAATCAATTGTCTTCACCCATTTGATCACCCGTTGCGTACTCCAGACAAGAGGATCAATGTTTTGATCCTCACATTTGGCTCGTCTTTCACTGAGTGCCTAGAAAGAAATGAGATTTATTTAATATGCAATATTCATTTGAAAAGTGTAAATAGGTTTTAAGATAAATGACAAGATCAGTTTGAGTCAGGTTACACCAGGGATTAATCAAAATATAAACAAATGTAATGTTATTCATTAAAAAGATTAATAAGTATGTACAATACTAAATCTTTTATAAGTAAAATTATTGTTTTGTGGGTTAAACCACATGGATTCACCAAAAGTGCCCATTAGCTGGTGCTATTTAAGTCTATAGAAAGGCAAACATTTTCTTCTCTTTAACTTTTTTCTTCTTGCTCCAAATGAACACACTCTGTTGGGTGTTCTTACCTATAAGAACACCCAACAGAGTGTGTTCATTTCCCCTGGTCAAATTGACTACTGAACTACCCACACATATGTATTACACACATTCTTATAGCTAGTTTTAATGAATTTTTCTTTGATTTCAATTGTGTACACATGTAATTCCTTTGTTAATAACATACATTACCTGTAGTTTGTTTTAAGTTCCATGTTTTGTGTTTCTTACTCATACCTGATCTCACATGAGTCTGCCAATTATTGTTTGCGGGACAAATGTACCAGGAGTCATTAAATATTTACTAATAAAATACCATACATCACAACCAAAGAGGTGATTCCCACAACAGTTTATTTATTTCAGCATGAGAGTTTGTGATTTTGGGACTTTTTTTCAAATTACCATTTTTCCATCGTCTTTAATGATGGATCATATATACATAAGTTACTCTTAAGGTTTGGGGCGAACTTGAGTTTCAATAGAGTTTTGTTTATATTAGTATAATTAAATGACTTGGTAGCCTAAATAAGCATAACATTATCATTGTACAGACTAATAAGAACACAAAACTAAATCTTACATATATCAAATTATTATTTATTTACCTTCTGACTTTATAAGTATTTGCATTAAGGTGTGTGGCAATGGGACCTTTCTTCAAACATAGATCTTCTAAAAATGTAATGTTATCATTTTAAAGGCTAATAAGAACAACACTAAATCTCTCATATGTAAAATTATTATTTATCATCTCCGGTCTTCACCAATTAATATCAGTAAGTGGGCATGTGTCTTTGGGGGTTTTCTATCTCTTTCTCATAAGGATGTGAGAGAGACTAGCTATACCATCTTGGATGGGGCACTTTTATAAACTTTCTCTCATCTACTTGTCCAGTGCCTGCACACCCTATGCTCAGCTTGGTTGACAATGACATCTATTGAGGCTTGATTCTGCACTTGGCTATGTGCTCACCTTCCAATTGAACCATCTAATACACCTAGCTCCTCAGATTCTCTAGTGTGACATCAAAGTGCAAAGCCTATTTTGCATCTCTTGTGGTGAGCCTCAGGACATATTGGTGTCACCACAGATCAACACCTTTTAGAACAAAAGTTCCTTATTGATATTAAATTCTTCAATCCTGAATCATATGTGACACAAAGACCAAACAGGCAAAAGCAAAATTAAGATGAATAATAATAATTAGCCCGCATCAATTAAAACTACATCCAATAAAATAAATATAATAAATATAAAAATATAAATTACAATAAATTAAATATATATAAATTAAAATAAAATATATATATATATATATATATATATATATATATATATATATATATAAAAAAATAAATTAAATATATATATATAAATATAAATAAATATATATATATATATATAAATTAAAATAAATATATATATATATATATATAAAATAAATTAATAATATATATATAAAATAAATTAATAATAATATTAATAATAAATTTAATATTAATAATAAATTAAATATATATAAACAAAGAAAATATATATAAATTAAAAATATAATAAATAAATATAATAATATAATAAAATAAATCCTAAATGCATCAATTAAAACTACCAATATTAGCCTGCATCAATTAAAACTACATGCAATAAAAGATCATTTAAATTTAAAAATCAATTCAAGTGAAAATGAAATCAAGACTCAATTTGCTTTAATAATCCAAACAAACAAAATATGACTGGAGTTAGGAAATAAGCAGCTTAAATAGATAGACTCACTTCTTTATCGAAATCCACAGCTTTTAGAAGTTCCACAGCATGAAGAATACTAGCTTGGTGAAACTTTCGATGAATAGCGAAATGTTTCTCCATGTCTTTCTTAGAGATTGTGTTCAACATGCGTCCATCCACAAGCTGAGTTTCAAATGTTCCTTTATACTGAGGCAAGCCGATATCATTCAGCCAACGTTGACACACCCAATTTTGATCCAGTTCAGAAGCTTTTGGGTATTTACTGAAGAAAGACAGAAAAATAAATGGTAAGTTAGTTCAAAAGCTTAGTCTTTTCTTTTATTTTTCTAAATGTACAGATTTGTACTTGTTAATTGCATGAGAACTTTAAGAATTTCTTTCAAAATGATAGAATCTCAGAAGGAGTATTTATCAAAGTATAAAAAACAAAACAAAAACCTGTTAGCTTCTCTCTTCTAAATTGAACTCAAATTATTTTACATCAGAGACTTTGTTATTTAACAATACAAAAGTGTTATAAAATAGATATATTTTTTAAAAGATTAAAACTTTGGTGAATTCAGTTGATTTTTAAATGCAGAGTAAAGATAAATATTCAGTCATACTTTAAAAGGGAATTCAATTAATGATTATGATGTGGGATGGATGGATGGATGTTGGATTTAACGGCATGTCAACTCCTATTTGGGTCAATTTATGCCGAAGCCTTATTAATTTATGAATTTAAGTTGGTTATTTTGTATAAAAAGATGAAAGGTTGTTGGGTTTCATAATTTTCTGTATTTTTTGGGATTGCTTTTTGTGACTGTTTCAATTGTGTATTTTACTGTTTACATTCATAGATGCATATATATGTCTATAAGCACATATATATACACTATTTATATTTTATTGAGGATTTTTATTTCCTTGAGAAAACTGTATATTTTTTCTGTGTCTGTATTTTTGAATATTTCTTTTAAATCTTTTCCATTGAGATATTTCTGTCTTATTCTTGTTATGATTTTGCATTCTGATAGAATATGTCTTATTGTGATTAGGCTTCCACATTTACATTTTGGTGGATTTGTCTTTTTTAATATGTGAGAATGAGTTAAATATGTGTGTCCTATATGTGTTCTGGTTATGACAACTTGTTTTTTTTCGAGTATTTCCAAGATCATTTCCCCATTTTCCTATTTTAGGTTTAATTTGAAATAATTTATTTCCGGTTTGGTTTTTCCATAGATTTTGCCATTTGTTTCTTATGTATTTATATATTTTAGATTTTAAGTCTGTATATGGAATTTGAAGATTTTCGTCAATTGTCATTTTAAAGATGATTTAGCAGCATTATCTGCCTTATCTCCTCCTTGGATGCCAACATGGCGAGGAATCCAGCAGAAGATGATATTTTTTTTTTTTTCCATTGAATGTAGTTTATATAGAAGACTTTGTATTAATGGATTTTCCAGTCTTTTCCCTTTTAGGGAGGTTAATACTGATAATGAATCTGAGAAAATAATATAGTTTTCTCCTTTGTTTTTTGATATGAAATTTAGTGCTAGTTTTATTGCGTAGGCTTCTGCACTGAAAATTGATGCTTCATTTGGCAAGCGTTTTTTTATAATTGTTTCTTTTGTTATTGCTGCGCTGCCTGTTTTTTCTTCGTCTTTTGATCCATCTGTGTAAATACTTTCATAGTTTTGATATTTTTCTTTTATTTTTGAGAATTTTTCAATGTATGTTGTGGGGTGTGTTTTTGATTTTGATAATTTGTTTAAACTTAATATTATGTTTGGATTTTTGATTATCCATGGTGGTATGTTTGATTGGTTGGTTTTAAGTATTTGATTAGACGGTAAATTATTTTCTTGGATGATTCCTTCCATCCGGAGTCCCAATGTTTTGATTTTATTTGTGTTAAGATTAAATTTCTCTTTGTGATTTGGTGTAAGTACACAATCGTGTGTGGGGTTAGAAGGACAGGAAGAGAGTTTTAGATAGTATTGAGTAGCTAGTTTCTCCATTCTTAGTTGTAATGGGGTTCGTTTGCCTCTACATGTAGACTCTCTATAGGTGAGGTGGGATAGGCTCCTAGAGCTATCCGAAGGCCTTCATGATGCATTGTGTTTATTGTTTTTAGATAAGATTTTCTAGTTGATTGGTAGACCATGCTGCCATAGTCCAGTTTGGAGCGGATCAACGTTCTATAAAGCTTAAGAAGGGTTTCTTTGCTAGCTCCCCATTCTGTATGGGCTACTGTTCGCAGTAGTTGGAGAGCTTTAAAACATTTTGTTCTTAGGTAATTGATATGTGGTCTGAAGGTCAGTTTGCTGTCAAAGATCATTCCTAGAAATTTATATTGCTGAACTACTGGTATTTCTTCATTTCCTAGTTTTAGAGTTGGGTTATTGTGTAATTTTTTCATTTGGCAGAAGTGTACAGATTTTGTCTTCGTTTTTGATATTTTAAAACCGTTTGAGTGTCCATTTGTTTATTTGATGTAAACATTGTTGAAGTTGTCTTTCTGCTGTGTTGAGGTTTCTTGATCTGTAATATATTGTAAAATCATCAACATAAAGGCTACAGTGTATTCCTGATTTGATGTTTTTTATTATGTCATTTATTTTTATTTTGAAAAGTGTAGAGAGAGTACACTTCCCTGTGGTACCCCTCTTCTTGCTTTTGATAATCAGAACGTGTAGTATCTATTTGTACTTGGAAGAGTCTATCTGTTAAAAAAATCCTTTTTACGAAGTTTGGTAGTCGACCTCTTAATCCTAGTTTATGCAGATCTTTCATTATACCATGTTTCCAGGTTTGATCAAATGCTTTTCTATATCAAAAATATGCTATTAGATGTTGTTTGTTTAAATTGGCCTCTCTTATGGCTGTTTCTAGTCTTATTATGTGATCTATTGTACTTCTTCCTTTATTATATCCACATTGATATTCTGATATGTGTTTTCCTTCTTCTAGAAACCAACTCAATCTGGCGTTGACCATTCGCTCCATTGTCTTACATAGACAGCTTGTTAATGCTATTGGTCGGTAACTTTGTGGGTTGTTTCCCTTTTTCCTTCTTTAAGTATGGGAATAATTACAGATTCTCTCCATATTTTGGGAAATTTCCCAGTAGTCCAAATATTGTTAAAAATATTCAAAAAGGTATTTCAGCGATTCTTGTGGTAGTTGTTTAATAAATTCATAGTGGATTTGGTCTGGGCCTACTGCTGTATTATGGGATTTTTTTATGGCTTCTATTAGTTCCGCTTCAGTGAATAGGTTGTTGTAGGCTTCTGTATTTTTAGATGAAAACTTTAGTTGGTTATTTATATCTTTTTGTTTACACTTTTGTAGGTTTTGATATTTGCTCATTTTAGAGTTTTCTGCAAATGTCTCTGCTAGTAGGTTTGCTATCTCTCTTTTGCTAGTTGCTTTAGTGTTGTCCTTTTTAAGATGTATTATTGGGTGTATTTGATTTTTTTCCAGCTATTTTCCTCATCATTTCCCATATTGTCTTGGTTTTAGAATGTGTATTTAGGCTGTTTATATTTTTTTCAACATTCCCTTTTTTTGGCTTCTTTTTTACAGTTTTCCGTGCTACTGCTTTGAGTTTCTTCATTTCAATCAAATTTTGGGTTGTGGGTTCCTTCTTGAATTTTCGCAATGCTGCTTCCCGGTTTCTGACTGCTTTTGGCAGTTTTTGTCAAACCAGGGTTTTAGTTTTTATAATTATTTTGCTTTTTTGGTATATTTTCTGAGGCAATGGTTATTAATGTTTTGGTAAAGTATTCTACCGAGTTGTCTGTGTCCTTTGACTGTATCAGTACTTGTTTACATTTGTTTTTGAAACCCTCCCAGTTGGCTCTTTTCAGTTTCCATCTGACGGGGCCTATCTTTTCTTCCTTGGCAGGCTTTTGATTTTCTAGTATGATCGGGTAATGATCACTGCCACATGTGTCACTATGTGTTTTCCATGTATAATCCATACAAATTTCTGGATCGCTTATACTTAAGTCTATTGATGATTCTGTTCCATTGGAGGGATTAAGGTAGGTTGAGGATTTATGATTTAATAGACATAAGTTATGGGTGTTAATTATTTCTTCTAATATTTTACCTTTAGTATCTAGCTTTTTTGCTATTCCATATAGGATTATGACTGTTAAAGTCTCCTAGTAAGATTCTGGGTTTGGGAAGTTGCTCCATCAAGTTGTTTATTTCTGTTGTGTTTATTGGTTCCTGTGGGGGTATATAAATGGAAAGAATTGTGATGGTTTTATCTAGTGTCACTTGTGTTGCTATTGCTTTGTAATTTAGTTTTAATGTGTACTTTACTTTTGCGGTATGTCATTTCTGATCAATATTGACACTCCTCCATTAGCTCTATGTCCTGTATTGTGGTTATAGTGGTATTGTTTATAATTTTTAATTTTAAGTTGGTATTTTCTTGTAAAAAGTTTCCTGTAAGCAGATGACGGCTGGATACAGTAGTGACATTAGTATGAGTAGGTCATTGTAATTTGATTTTATTCCACGACAGTTCCATTGCAGGATCTTATGTGCCATGATTATATTTTCATTTTTGGGAGTAAAGTTACCTACTAGGTTGGTATCATTTGTCCTCTCCAATTTTTTTCCATCTCTTGAGTTTTTAGAAGCTTTGTCTTCAACTGCTTGTGGTGTCCTTCGATCAGATTTTTGATTTTGTTTTGAATTTTGTTTATTATCTTTCTCTTCTATTTCTATATATTCCATAGGTTCAAATTTATTTTCATTTGATATATTGATTCTTGATTTTGAGTTAGATCTTGATCGAGTGCTTTCTTGCTCTGTTGTCACTTTTTTTCTTTTTTTTGTTTATTTTTCATTTTCTTAGTTTGGGTTTGGAAAGAAGAGGGTTCGCTGGAGTTTTTGTTCTGTGTTTTCTTTCCAAAGTTTTTTTGCCTCCTTCTGGGTTTATTCCATTTGATCTGGGTTGTTGAGTTTTATTTTGATCCGATTTAAGTTCGGTTAAAAGGTTTTAATTCTTCAAGGAAAGCTTTTAATTCCTTACATAGATTTGTTATTTCAATTGAACCTTTTATTTTATCTTCATTGTTTATTTTATTTGCTTTTTTGCCATGGAAGCATATGTGTTTTCTTTTATATTATTTATAACTTCCTTTCGTGCTTCTATGTAAGATATATTTTTTTGTATTTTATTCTAATTATTTCTTTCTCCTGTTTATATATATTGCATTGTTTTGAGAGGGCAGAGTGGTTTCCCAAACAGTTTGAGCATAGGCTCTTATTTGGGCAGTTCTCTTCTTTGTGTTCTGGTTCCTTCTCACTACATTTCCCACATATTTTTTTATTTCTACAGGAATCTCTGTGATGCCCAAATTTGTGGCATTTATAGCATTGTAGAGGGTTTGGTACATATTGTTGTTCTACTTTTATACTTTCATATCCAATTTTTATTGAAGTTGGAATTTGGGGAGAGTTGAACGTTATAATGTAGGTATTAGTTTGTATCTCAGCTCCATTTTTTTTTAATTGTTATTCTTTTTAACATTTGTAACTCCTTGAGTTTGGGAGTTCTATTTTATTTCCTCTAGAGTGCACAAGGAGAGCTCCTTACTTTTTACTACTCCCTTTGAGTAATTTAGGGTTTGGTGTGGGTAGGTTTTTATTTCTATCTCTTGTAGTTTTTTTTGTCTGATCAATGTGTCCGCATATATTTTTTTTTCTACTTCTATTAGTATTGTTCCATTTTGTAATTTTTTAACCTTTTTTGGTATTATGATATTTGATATTGCTTTTTGTATTTTAAACGGAGAAATTTCTGATAATGATTTTTGGCTTATTGCTTCGAGTACAATAAACCGTGGAAAGTTTTCACTTTCATTCTCTGTTTCTGAGTCGTTATCCACATGTGGTCTCTTGGAAGATTTCTTTTTTTCCATTGATTGTTTTTATTTTTGTTCATCATTCTCGCTCCCTACCCACCACGGAGTCCAGATTGGGACAGGTCAAGGGGGAAACCCATTCGCCTTGCCATGTCGGGTCTACGTGAATGATATACTCTTTTTGGGAGGAGTCTTTGAGCACGCATGTTCCTTTGTTTCCGTTTTCCAAGTATTACAGCTGTGAAGGTTTAGCAAGTGTGTCAGATACTTTTTTCCCCCAAATTGATTGACCCTCAGCCACCGCCTTCCATCACATATTTAGGGTTAAGTGTTAGTTTTGGTTGGGAAGAGGAGTGTCAGTTATAGGTTTGGGTTGGATTATATATGATGGGGCTTGACATGACCAGCCGATTGATCGGATCGGGCCCTCCGACCGCCCGTCTAGCCCAGGTAAGGGCCAAAGTGGTGTGTTACAAGATTGTGACCGCTTTACACCTGGGTTACAACCTGCTCAACCACCAGGATCCTGTCCCCAGACATTACAGGTCGCCACCCACGGCCAACAGGTGGCCCCATTGAGGGACTTTTACCCTCTGCAGGGGGGCAGTCGGCGTATTCTGATGCCCCACCGACCGGGCGGTATGATGTGGGTCCAACAAAGAATTAGAATTTTTCTCCTGTTTTTTTTTCTTTGGTTCCAGCAGCACAAAAAGGAAGAGCTGTTAAAGAGTGGATGAAATCCTCAAAGTCAACAGCAGTCCACCCCAACTATGGATAAATAGCCTCACCAAGTGTGAAGAGTACAGCTACACCCCTGAAAACTATCAGGGAGAATGTGCTACTCAAAAACACTTAATGTCTTTATAGCATGTTCACCAAAAGCCATTTTAATAACATTTCATTGGCACCAATCTTCATATAAAAAATTCTATCAACACTCAACATAAAGACTCTTTTTGGCACATCTCTATGAAGTATTAATTGATATTAATTACAAAAATAAAATAAAAACTTACATTTCTGAAAGATCTCGCTGATCTTCAATTGCAAGTCTTAATTTTCTCCTGTGCATTGGATTTGTTATTCCCAGAGCTGAACTTAGTTCTGAGTCACTCAAACCCAATAAAACCTGTTTGTTTTTTTAAAAAGAAAAAAAATAATTAAATTATATATTAGATAGTGGTAATAATAATAATGGAAAGAACACATGAAAATTACATGAATTTAACATTTTCCAGATCAGCAGATGTGTCAAAAAACACTTAATAATATTCAATAAAATAACAAAAGTTCAATTTAGTTACTTGATTGACTAAAGAGTTCAAACATTTGATGCTGATGAGCGTTTCACTGAAACTCTTAAATCAGATAAGTCAGCTAAACTTATGTTGATTTATTGAATATATTCATATATGATAAAAATATACTTTTAAGGTATGCTATATTTATGAGTAAAAGTACTCTATAATGAGATAGAGTGTATGTAAATATAAAAGACGACACTGAGGTCAACACCAAGCAACAACATTCTGTTTCATGTTTGAACGCAATCTTCCGGCCACATAACTCATAAATATACCTTAAAACTATATTTTTATCATATATATATATATAAGTAAAATATAGTTTTTAGGTATGTTATATTTATGAGTTAAAATGCTTGATATCAGGGATAGAACATATATAAATATGACATTGAGGTCAGCACCTAGCAGTGACAGATTGTTTTATGCTTAAACCTGATGATTGTGTGTAGCATGGAACAGTCTGTTGCCACTAGGTGTAGACCTCAATGTCCATTTATATATATATATATATATATATATATATATATATATATATATATATATAAATTTTTCTGACTTTCAGTGGTTTACTGGTAGAAAGGCATTTAAGGCAAGCAGACTTTGTGGTAAAGTGTTTGATATCAGAGAGAGCATTAATAGAATTAATATAGAGAAATTGTCACTTAACTGATTGGTGTCACCCTAGTCATAACACCTTCAAAGTTTCGTAAATGTATAGAATATGTTCACTCATCAAGAGCTTAGACATTTTTTCTGTTGATATTTCCAATGTTTGCATGTTATATGCTGTTGTACACACATGTTTACAGTGTTATTACATTTCCCTGTGAGTTTGTAAATTTGCGGTTTTTCACTTGATGAATTTCATGTTTGTCTATGGTTATCTTTTTTTTATGTTTTCCTATTTAATTTTGGTTGTAAGGTTTTCTTTTTGGTTCCATGTATATTTTGATAGGATTGTGTTGTTTGAGTATCTTTCTACTCTGAATGTTGTTTTGTAATTGTTAAATCTTTCTTTAAAGGTTGTTTCTTTGACTCCTCTATAAATTTTTTCTTCTATGTTAATATTTGTTCTGGTAGCTTTGTATATCATTGTTTAGACATTTGTTACTAAGTGAAAGTTTGTATGAGTTGTTGTTTAGGTTGAATGTTATCTCTACAAAGTTTATTATTTTTAGGTTAGATTTTGTGTCTATTGTGAATCCTAATGTGTTGAAGATTTCTATAATTTGTTTTATTATTTCTGTGCTTCTGCCATTACAATTTCTTACAATTATTATACCCTCATCCCTGTATAAACCTATGTCTTTTTTGTTAATGATATTTGTCAATTTGTTGATGACACATGCCTATAAATTCATGTAACTACCCATTATTATGTCAAAGCTGTGTTTGTTATTGTCATTGTTGTTGGCGCTGTACTTTTTTGTCCCTATTTTAGTGTTGTAGTATAGTATAGATTTTTTGCAATGCTTCATAATGTCTAAGTCTCGAATGTTTATGTGTTGTTTTGCTAGGTTTAATGCATTGTTTAGTGTGTACTCATTGGTGGATGGTTAGAAGTCCTTTATGTCTAGTTGTATAAAGGAGAAATTTTCTTTGTTGGTTGTGTTGTTGAACCAATGGATGGTTTCTTTTCTGTTTTTCCATTGGTTTATATTTAGTGTAGTTCTTAATTTTGTGCTTATTTTCTACTATTTGCTTGCTTATTTTCTGATGTTTCTATTTGTGGAGTTTAGTAGTCTATATGTTGGTTTAAGAAGTTATCCATGTGGTCTTTTAGTTTGATGGATGGTTTTAATTTTGGTAGTTTTTTGATTATGTTGTCTAGTTTTAATTTATCAAACAATAGAAATATCAACAGAAAAACCAGACAAGCTCTTGACAAGTGAACCTATTCAATATGTTTACGAAACTTTGAAGCTGGCATGATAAGGATGACACTGATCAGTTAAGTGACAATTTTTCTCTCTTGTTGTGTGTGTGTGTGTGTGTGTGTGTGTGTGTGTGTATATATATATATATTTTAGAGTGTGCAGCTTATATTTATATCATAAAGAAGTAATTTATACAAAGAATTAATTAGCAATGTTAATGTGATTGATAGCAAAATTACTTTAATAACAAGACTTAATGACACATTAATTTACTATCAAATCCTTGAATAATATGATCCTTATATTCGAGTTGTTGTCAGATAAAATTAATGAGCCAAGTACTTTCAACAATTTCAAATTGTCATCATCTACACTACACATATTTTGTCTTAGTGTTTTGCCTGTATATGGAAAAATTGTGCCTCGTAGATGACAATTTAAAATTGTTGAAAGGACTTGCCTCATAAATTCCATCTGACAACAATTCAAATGTACAACAACTCAAATATAAGGATCGCATTATTCAAGGAATTGATAGTAAGTTAATGTTTCATTAAGTCTCGTTAGCGAAGTGATTTCACCATTAATCACATTAACATTGCTAATATATAGTACAGGTAATTGATCTGTTGGTATATAAACCGGGTGGATTCTAGTAATATTAATTATTAAAACTGATCCACAGAGAGCTTGATGTTTTTATTAGGGGCTGATGATAGCTGTGTACAAAACGGCTTGAAATAGACTATCTCTATGTTGAGATAATTTTTTTTTTTTTTTTGCTGTAATATATATATATATATATATATATATAAGCCATTGATTATTGGTTTGGAATGACTGAAACGTCTCACTGCAGGGATTTTTTAAGAAGCAATTTAGGATTTTAAATAGTCAACTGCTTAATTTTGTTCCAACCTTATAGTCTTTCTAATGGCCAGACATATTGTTCAACTTTATAGTTTTTCTAATCATTTTTCTGTTAATGACTGACCCCCAACTATCTAACTTGAAATGAATATAACAGCTGTTCAGAGCCACTAACCATTACACCACTCACACATTCAGAGAGAGCAAGAGAATTTAAATCATGTCTTTTTAATTTTTAAAGGTATTGTTATAGTCCGGTTCCTTGTACCACGGTGATAGTCCAAGGTAGAACCAATAAAGAAGAACTCGAACACGTATATGGAATAACACAGATATATTACAAACAGGAATATATACAGAGAAGTAGAAAGTGTTAGTATGAACAATCAGGTTTAGTAATAATTGTCTGAACGTGACTGTTTCGGACTGCCTCTGACTCGACTGACTGACTCGCTCGCTCACTCTGACTGACTGACAGACTCCTGGCGGACTTCACTCCAGACTTCAGACTGAACTCTCTGCTTCCTCTTGAGGCGCAGTATTTATTACGTATGGAATAGTTCATTATGTTATTATGGGTAAGGTCCCATAACAGGTATTAGTCTGGCAATTAACAGTAACTGGTATTTTAAATATTCACCAATTGTTTTCCATGCCAATAACAATTATACCATCTGCTACTTCTTTTCTAAAGTTAGTAGCAACTCATAAAAAGATGGACAGACAGGACACAGATAGACAGACAGGAAAGAAACATTTTGAGAAATGGCATGAATATGAGATTCAGTCTCCCTTGAGCACTGGTGGACAGGTCCGCTGGGATACTGGGAAATTTCCAAGGGGGCCTCAAAGTGATGCTCCATCATTTTAGAAATAACTGAAAAAAGTAAAAACTAAAAAAGAAAAATATTGTACAGATGCTGGCAAGACGTAACATTTTATTTGCCTAAAAAACCTTTAATTTTATTTGATTCCTTTGACTACGTTTTGGGATTAAGGGGGTCCTTTTGACTTGTGTCTTTTACAAGTTTTCAACTCAGTCTGTAAAAGAAAAATTTGGTTAAATCATCTTGTTGCTATAGAGATGCAGACACAAACACACAATGCCTGATACTACATGCAAAATTACTAAGGTCAATCATAGAACAGTCATGTGACATGAATTATGACCAATATAAAAGAGTAGGCATGAAGTTCAACTCTCTTTCTCTCTGTTCATATGATTTTTATCATTGGCCTCTTCTGCTACGTTAAAATTTCAACCTTGAAATTCCTCTCTTCAAAGTGATTTTCTATCCACAACCTCTTCTGATCATTTCTTTCATTTGAAAAGACTTGCAGCTCAAACTGTGTGGAGTGATTTCTTAAAAGATTTTTCAAATTCCTTTGAAGAATTGTTTATTTTAAACATAAGTGTAATTCTTGTCCAACAGACACTGAGGCAAACATTAATGAAGTAGTTATTCGAAATAAAAAAAAGTAAACAGGGACAGATGTTGTCAGGGATGAAAAATTTGAAGAGAACAGCATTTCTAGTGAGTCAAAAAGAAATTTACAATGAAAAATTATTAGTCATTTGTAGATATGTACATTATTTTGTGTCAAATTTTCTTCACTGCCTCAAAACAATTGACAGATCTGAGCAAGAAAGATTTATGCTGTATTTTTATTTTTATAATAATATGACACACACATATATATATATAT